GTGTGTGTGTGTGTGTGTGTGTGTGTGTGTGTGTGTGTGTGTGTGTGTGTGCCAATTCTTGACTAAAACTCCTGCGTTCTACGAAAGCTCAAAATGACTCCCAAAACGCCCTGGTATGGGGCCAGCCTGCTTAAGTGATTTGTCTTTGCCTAAGAGGGCGTTGGTGTTAAAAGCCCCGAAGAAACACACAGGGGAGCGCTGATGGTTTATCCTCTTTTTTTCTGTTGTTTCTGTCCGTCTGCCCTGCGTTTTTTCTCACCACTTAATGGCTGTTATCGTGTCGATGTGCTTTTTTTTTTTTTTTTTTTACTCAAACAAGAACAAAAAATGCAGTCGAAAATGGTGAGTGGTTAGCGGGTGTTGTGATGTGGTTTGCTCTTTCTTTCTGATTATAACATAATATATCGTCTTGATCTCTAATCCTTCTTTCTTGTGTTTGTTACTCTCTTGTAACACCTCTATTCTTCGGCACTTGTTTGACCTTCTTGTGTTACACGTGCCGTAAAACTCTTTGCTAAAACTAAACTTAATGGCTGTGCTGTTATTGTGTCGATGTGCTCCTCTTTTCTCTAACAAAAGAAATATGACATGGCTACTGATTGAAGTGTCTTTCGGCCATTCCCAAAGGGGGCACATTAACATATTAACATTTTCTTATGCTCAGTAGAATTGTAAATGGGCTGGTTTATCAATGTCATACTCATACTGTGCCGGAAAAACAGAATACTGAACAACTGCTGCTTTGTCTGTCCCCATCCTTACTATCGCCATTTTCCTCTACCCCTTTTGTATCTTTATCAATCTCTTGTGAACTGCTATTTCCGGGGTGCCTTGATAGTCGAAGCAGACTTTGTGCTGTTGAGGCTAGAGAGGTGAACGGAGTAAGCCTGATTCCCCGTTTAGACTTCTCTGCTGACACCCACCCCATGGCGCTCATTTGACCTTACACAGTTGCGAGCACCGTAAAACCTTACTAAAAACCAAAATATGACGTGTAGGCACAAAAGACCCACATATTAATGTTTTTTTCTCTGCCTTTGTATGTCCGCAGAACGAGGTGGCGGCGGCTCTGGCCGAGTCTGGCTTCCCGATCTATGCCTGGAAGGGCGAGACTGAGGAGGACTTTTGGTGGTGTATCGACAAGTGTGTCAACGCCGAGGGCTGGCAGCCCAACACGGTAAGAACTGGGACAAGATAGGCGGGCGGGGGAGGGGGGAGGAGGGAGAGAGAGAGAGAGAGGGGGGGGGGGGGGGGGGGGGGAGGGCGAGAGAGAGAGGGGGGGGGAGGGGCTGCCACTGGTGGGTCCTGCTTCATTAACTTCTCTCTGTTGTTTCAATCTGTCGGCCTATCTTTCTTTATTCTCAGCAACAAATTTTAATAACCATTATCATGTCGATATGCTTTTCTTTACTCAAACAAACGAACAAACAGATAAGATGATTCTTTATTGTCCGTGCGGGAAATTTTTCGTGGCCTTACAGGGATGGTGAAAACACATGTGGGTATACATTAAGCTTAAATTATATATAAAACTTTCGTAAGAAAAAAAGAAAGAAAATCAACATGAAGGGAATATAAAGGCAGATAATGTTACAACATGTCACACCAGGTTACGCACTTATCAAACCGCTTCCAGGGATTTATCACAGATTCTTATGGAAGGTACATAAATGTATTATGCATAACGTGTGAATAGGTTTTTAGAAGACCATCAGCAATGCACGTTAATGTTCATTGGAACAGCAGCCTTGTCGCAGATGGTAGGAAACTTATCTCTTATATCGTGTTTTGTTGCTTCATGGTGGTATGTCGTATCTGCCGCTGCGTGGTCTTCAAATTACCCATTGGTCTGATGGACTCGGTCTGCATGATTAGATCGGATCGGGTCACATCGAGAAATGGCACTGGCCAGAGCACGCGATATTCAGTAAACATCTGCTGCTTTGCTTCATCAAATCTTACCCGGTACTCTCTAAGGGTGTGCCTATCGTATTCCCCGAGCAAATAAAAGGTACGATGTATTTCCCAGCAATATCATGCGACACGTTCTGGAAGGCTGCTGGCTCCGGTCTACATCAAAGAAATTAGTAATAATAATAATAATAATAATAACAATAACGATATAACAATAATGATAATAAAATAATAATAATAATAATAATAATAATAATAATAACAATAATGATACTAATTTCAATAATGATAATAATAACAATGATGATGATGATAATTGTATTATCTTTTGCACTTGTATGGCCTAATTTTGTTGCAAGTGCCAAAACTCTTACTAAAACGTAAGTAGAACTTACGCTAAAAATGTTATAATACCACAATTTAGATTTTCTTATTGTGAAAATGGAACTTTTTTTGGGGGGAGGGGGGGGGAGATGTTGTTTAGTGGGCGGGAGGGGTGTGCTGTTGTCTCTTTTTCTTGGGGGAGGGGGGAAGGGGGTGTTTGCTGCAGCTTTCTAAAACTATGACCTTTAAAGATTCCCTACTACCATTAATAGAGTAGAGAATCTTTGCTATGACTGTGGATTTTCGAGTTTCCTTAAATAGCTCTTGGACTGTGATGATTACGAAAAGGTTAACGCCCCGCTTTTTTCTCACGTTATGTCCGAAGACGGGGTCAAGGGCCCTGACAAAGTGATAAACAACTGCGTGGAGTGCGTCGTTATGGAGACCGATGAAGAAAATCTCCCGAGAGAGTCTCATTTAATGTCCTCTCGAGCCGTTCTCTATGCAAAGATTTATGCCGCGACTTGAGGGAAATAGCCAACTTGCTAGAGAGAGATCTGTGCTGTCCAAGGTTATGGATTGTGCTGAATATCATTTCCTTATTTAGAACGTCCAGCGCATTAGCTTTGGCGCATTGTCGCGAACTAGGGGTTAGGAGGCGGGTGGTTGGTGGTTGTTGTTGGACAGTATGCTCCTTCTTCTCTCTACGTCTTTTTTTTCTTCTTCAATTCGATTACTGCTCTGGTCTTCTTCCTGACGAAATGTGGCATTTTCGAGGCGACTTTTGGTGCCCTGTAACTCAATCCAGGTATGACAAGAGTCTGAACACCTTGTCTGCTGTGAATCGTTCCTGCAGCTGGTACTTTCTGACTTTTGATCTAAATTGTGTCGATGGGGGCGTAAAAGACACCCACGTTAAAAAAAGATACCCCCAAAATTCTGACTCCTTGCTTACTGGTGATTCTTGGTGGCATTTATTCTCACAATGTGCGTAGAATAAAGCTCTTTTTGGATGAATTCAATAGTGAAGATTCTGTGCCCCTTTGACACATGTCAAATTAAGAAGGGGGCAAGCTCTGTCGTTTACCCTGCCTCAACCCGCGTTTAATGAGTTACAATTTTTAAGCAGAAACACATAATTTATAGATGCTCGACAGAACGCTGTTTGTTACTCGGGAATCAAAGTCATGCCGTATTATGTTTGCAACAACGAAGGGCCCGATCGTTACACTGCAGACATCAGTGCTTTAGACTGTAGTGTTTAGAAATTTGTGTCTGATAATTTCCGCCTGAACAGATGAGTGCGTTCGATAATAAAACTTACTTAACGTCTATGGTATTGATAGAACGCAAACATAAAGTTCTGGCGTCTGTTGTGTAATGGTAAGGCTCTTCACTATTGCACATACAACTGAGTGGGGAAGTTTTTGTATTCAATAGAACTTGATGTTGAGCAGGGGTATGAGCTATTCAAATGCTGTTTTATTTTTGGTTTGTTTTTATCATCATTATTATTATTATTATTACTATTTATTATTGTTATTATTGTTATGTCTCTGTTAGCTTGAATGTTGTTTTTCCACTCTACCCAGGTTGACCCTCGCAAGAGGTAGCCCGCCTCGTAAATGATCAAAACCTCTTTGGTTGGGGGAGGGGGGTGGTGGAGGATAAAACACTGAACAATTAGCCTAATAGTCCGTAAATCAAGACCCAACCAAAGAAATGATGACATCCCACCAATGTTTGTTTGTGCGTGTCCTCAGATCCTGGATGACGGTGGCGACGCCACCCACTGGCTGCTGAAGCGCTACCCGGCCATGTTCAACATGGTGAAGGGCATTGTGGAGGAGAGCGTGACGGGCGTGCACCGACTCTACCAGCTCTCCAAGTCTGGCAAGCTCAGCGTGCCCGCCATGAACGTCAACGACTCCGTCACCAAGGTTAGTTGGCTTAGCTGGCAGAACATCTGTTTCAATTTTTTTATTTTTAGATTATTTTTACAGAATGTGTAGCCTATGTATATTGATTTGAATAGATAAATAAGTGAAAATTATTAACATAACTGACACAATTTTATGATTAAAAAAAACAATTGAATTTTATTTACGGAATGTGTATGTACATTACTTTGAATTTGTAAATAAGTGAAAATTTCCAATATTACTGAACTCTGTCACCAAGGTTAGTTGGCTTGTGAAAGAAAGAAAACAAAATATCATGTACAGAATGTGTATGTACTTTGCTTTAAAATTGTACCTAAGTGAACATTTCTAAGAAGGTTTCAAGGGCTGCCAGCTTCTTTACTGCTGTACCAGCTGTTTCGGGCAACTTTCTAAAACCAGATGGCAGGCACTTTTTGTTTAAGGTCAAGAGATGTCTTCTGTATAATTTTTAAGGGGAAGATTTTTCTAAAATTTGCAACTACCATGTCAAGTCAGTGCAGTACATATTAAAGAGTTTTTATCATGCTCAAAATGATGTAAGTCATTACAACTCGTAATGTTTACCACTTTTTAGATCAGATTCAGTGTTGTACAACACTTGTTTATATATGCCTCTTATTTTGTCGTTCACCTTGGGCAGTATCCAGGCCCATATAATTGGGCCAGCAGGTAATTTCAGTAAGCTATTTGTGAGGCAGCGTGGTGGAATCAGGCTCTCGTCAAAATAATCAAAGTGAAGAAACTTGCATTTTTCCACAGGTTTGAGAATTTTTATCAAATTATTGTTTTTTGGCACAACACCTTTCATGCTCATTAAAGAACTCATTTCTATGTGAATTTTTCTGAAAAGCGTTGATTAAAGGCACAAAAATGTAAATTTTCAGTTACCATGGACTCTTAAGCTAAGGAAATAATTATTTTTGGCGGCCATTTTCTCACTAGTTTTACCTCTGAAAACAGGTGACCCCCACCACCTTCTTTCGCAAATATCTCGACTTGTATTCAAGATGAATGAGATATTTTTTTCATCCAAATAAAGACAAGTGAACAAGCTTTAAGGTGATACCAATAACCCTACATGCCCAAAAATTGACGAGAGCCTGATTCCACCACGATGCCTCACATTTGTTTTAGTTTGGTAAATTTCTTTTTCACATTATTGATTCCTTACATGATGAGAAGTTGGACTTTACTTTTTGCTTCTCTTCTTTCCCCAGACTAAATTTGACAATCTCTACAGCTGCCGTGAGTCCATCCTTGACGCGTGAGTATTCTATGCCACAAAATTCTGTGTGTTTTTAGAGGGACATATATTTTCATATTTTTCTACTGAATTTAGACATTTTGTTTAAATTTTGAAAGTAAGTCCAATAATTGTGTTGAGTTTATGTTCATATTTGGTATTAATGTTTCCTCTCTCATAGGTGGGATGTTTGCTCCTGACCTGACTAGGTTTCTTTTGGGGGTGGGGAGACTACAGTTTGACAAACCTCTGCTTTTGTCTTAGCTGACTTGTATTCTGTGTATGAGTCCACCTCTATGTTGAATAGAACTGAAAGCACAAAAGTCGTAAATCAGACTGTTTGATCAGGGCTAAATGTTTTTTAGACCAACCCAGATTTCCCCACGAGAATCAATAAAATGTAATTCATGTATTTTATTTTTTGGGGGGAGGGGGCAAGGGAGTTACTTCAGCTAAAGGCCGATGTGACTGCTGCCATGAAATGGTTTGTCTTATTGTCGAAGCAGCAGTAATGGAAGTCGAGGGTGCGGAGGTGTGTGGTCTGATGCCTGTTTAGGGTGTCTTATCAATGATTCAATTCTTATTAGACACCTACTTATGAAGAACAAAGTTGGGAATAAGAATTATTATTGCAACAATACATCAGTGGAAGAGAAAAAAAAAAAGCCCTGAAAGCTTAGGCCCACTGATTGGAGAAGCAGAAACATTTGCATAAAGCACAGCCCATAAAAAGAAGCGAAGTGAATACGCAGCGCTGTGTGTTGTGTGTGAGACAGGGCAGAATGGCTTGCCAGATTGTATTGATCCGAGTCGATCCGAGTCAAGTGCTTTGTTGTTGTTGTTTGCTGAGGTTTCCTGAGAATTCTGCGACTCTCTTGGGCCTTCTATATTGTCATACACTTTCCTGGATTCTGCCTAAAATGATGCATTAGGATATTTGTGGAACAGTATTCAATCCCCTCTAGTTTTTTTTTCTTTTAGTAGCCATGGGAAGTTATGTGGATTGCATTACTCCCAAATGGATTTATGTTTGGGAAAGTATAATAAGCCAAATATTCCTGTTCTTTGGAAGACTTTTTTTTCCCCAGACACTTTCCTCATTTCTAATTAGTGCTTTCTATGTTTACAGGGTAATGAATATTGATGATAGTTGGTTTTTTTCCTTTTCTTTTATTTATTGCCTTGTTTTTTACATCAGAAAATGATTTAAATTTAGGGGGGGGGAGGGCATTGATTCTTGATACTGCGAAAAGATATGGCTTTCCAGATTATTTATTGATATAAGTAGTATATTTTATATTCTGTATTTTAATCATTCATATTATGTGGTATGATTTATTTTTACGGTTTTTGTTTCTTTTCAGTCTGAAGAGGACCACGGATGTAATGTTTGGTGGCAAGCAGGTCTTGATCTCCGGTTATGGCGAAGTGAGTTGTTCTACTTTGTTTGATGTTTCTTGTTTACGTCATATCACTTCTTTATTTATGTGGGTGACTGTGTATGCAAGCATGTACTTTTGTGCATATTTATATTTCAAATTGGTTGTTTTTATGTTTACAGATATGTTTTGTTTATTATTATTCTTGCTTCCTTCTTATGTCTCTTACAATCTAGTGCATTGATAAAGCATATCATGTATTGATTTATCATGTCTTTAGCATTAAAATGTGTTTATGTCATCGTATATTATGTATCGTCTTATCTTGTGTCATCATATCTTATCTTGTCTTATCATGTCTCATGTGAGCGGGTGATTGGAGGGCGCCACAAGGTGGCCCTACTTCTGTTCCTTCCTTGTATGATTTCTGTCTATCTTAATTTACTTGAAAAATGACCATTGTAGTGTCGACATGCTTCTCTTTACTCAAAACAAAAGACAACCCGAAATTGTCACATGTATTGGTGAAGCTTTTCTTGTATAACCTTGTCTCCTGTTATGTTCCAGGTGGGCAAAGGCTGCAGTCAGGCTCTGAAGGGACTGGGAGCTATTGTGAGCGTGACAGAGATTGACCCAATCTGTGCTCTACAAGCATGGTAAGTCAGAACTTTGTCCTGGGCATATGTTTGTCCTTGTGTGTTTGTCTGTGTTGGTCTTTGTGGTTGTATTAGTGTAATGCTTATATTTTGAATCATGGAAGCTTATGAAAATCTTGTGTCCATTTCTTCCAGTTAAAAATCAATAAGGCATTTAAGACATGTCTTTTTCAAGTTCTTCTCCAATCCTTTCCCAGCCTTAAATCACAGTCTTTCGATCTTTCAATTCCCTATTATTTATTATCTAAACAGGCATTTAACTCACACAGATCGTCGGAGGGCACCACTGGTAGTTCCTACATCTTTTCTTCCGCCCCTTTGTTTCTGTCTGTCTTTCTTACTTTTTCCCAGCACAAAATGACTGTAACTGTATCCATGCCCCTCTGTCTATTCAAATAAACAAACAGATTGGTTTACAATCAAACGCTTAATGTTTCTTTGGTTCTAATTCTTGCTCTGTATACTTCCCAGGAAATTGAGATTGTTTGAGAATGCTGTCAGGTCTACTGGCGTAATAGTAGGGCCTCTTGGTTGTAAAGCGCAATAAGCTTGCTGTTGAGCCGAAATTTGCGCTATACAACTGCTGATTTTTGTTGTTATTATTATTTGTTTATTATTATTATTATTATCTCCTGCTCCTCAGCATGGACGGCTTCCGCGTGGTGAAGCTAGACGAGGTTGTGCGACAGATCGACGTGCTCATCACGTGCACGGGCAACAAGAACGTGGTCACCAGGCAGCATCTGGACCGCCTCAAGAACGGCTGCATTGTCTGCAACATGGGCCACTCCAACACAGAGATTGACGTGGTGGGTAGAGAGGAGGATGAGAGATAGTTTATGCCCTGAGTCAAAAGTTTGATTGAATTAAGATATTCTGACAGAGAAATTTCCTTACTCATTCCCTACGTTAAGCTGTATTTTGCTGCTGCTGTAACCCTTGCTTTATGACTGCAAGTGACATTTTGCTGCTGAACAAATTTATCTTCAGACTCACACAAACAATTATTTTATGCTCAGATTACTTTTTTCCCACTGTTTTAGAGAATATTGTGTATCTGCATTTTTTAATATAATGCATTTGAGTTTCTCTAAGTAAAAAACAAATTTTGAAAAAAACTTTTATTATGGCTCATTACGATCTGAAAAGAGAAAATGGCAGTCAGAAAGGCTTGGTCACAGTGAGGAACAATAATCTGGCTAGGAAATAGTTCAGTGGTTGTGGTGAAAATTCAGCAAGTGATTTTCTCTTCGGGATTTGACAGAGTGAAATACATCGATATTTCTAAAAGAGAGTCGGAGCAGTTGTTGACCCGTACTGATTCTTTGTAATAACTTGATGGTGTTTTTTTCCTCCCTTTTGCTCTTAAAATCATGTAAATATTGCACTTTGGCATTTCTTATTCTGCTTTAGCCAAGAGGAACTATTTATCCGTTCATCAGATGGGTAATTTGAAGAATAGGTTTAAAATAATGGATTAAAGATTAAAATGCTGTCTCTGTTCAGAGTTTGACCCTTAAATGGAGAAAGGATCGGAAATGAAAAGGACAAAAATGCAATGTAATGAGAAAGAAAAAGTCCGGTCGACAGCTGGCAAACACATATTTATAGCTCCAAGATTAAGACTTAATTATAAAGTCTTCCTATTAAGCATTCTATTTTGGTAACTTAATTGTCTATTTCTGTCCCACAGACAAGCCTGAGGACACCAGAGTTAACATGGGAGAAGGTCAGGTCACAGGTCGACCACATCATTTGGCCCGACGGCAAACGCATCATTCTGCTGGCAGAGGTAAGTTGTCTCCTATTTTCCCCCAACCACCAGGGCTGCTGCTTGTGTGTCCTTTTTCTGGAAATATTCAGTACACGCACTCACATACACACACTCACATACACACACAAACACACACACACACACACACACACACACACACACACACACACACACACACACACACTAGCATATTTTCCATTGGCACACCTAGGGACACACATACACTCACACGCACACACACACACACACACACACACACACACACACACACACACACACACACACACACACGACCAGGTTCACTCATACCCACGTGCACACTTGCACACAGACGTAAACACGTGAACAGACTGCTTAAACAAAAATCTGTGGGACCACCGGACTTCCTTTGGTTTAGCCGGGTTTTCGGTTTAGAGAGGTTACCCAAAAAGAGAAATAAACATCAAGGATTTTATTTTCTTTCGGTTTACAACTGTTTTTTATATTGATTTAATGCTTTCTGTTTAAACGGACTCCACCGTGTTTGTTGCTAGCAGCTGCAGCAGTTCTGAACTTGATCTTCTGTCTCTCCAGGGTCGACTGGTCAACTTGAGCTGCTCCTCGGTCCCCTCGTTCGTGGTGTCCATCACAGCAACCACTCAGGTAGGGAAACGCCCTAGAATTTTCATAACTCATGAAACAGCTCTTAAAATGTCATCATCATCATCATCATCATCATCATCATTGCCTTTCAGACCCTGGATCAGGATATAGGCCACGAACAAACATTTTCCACTTTTCCCAGCGGAAAAACTTTTTCCCCCCTTAACCTTTGCTTCTGGTGGTTTAATGGCAATTGGAAAAGACAGTATATGTGTATGATAGCAGTATGACCTTGTCAGACTGTAAAACTGAATAGTGTTTTCTTCAGAAAACTTAGCTCACTTGAAATGAACTGACTGACCAAAAGAGTTCTTTTCTAGCTTAGTGCATGTTCTATCAGAATGGAAATGCAGCTGTAAAGAGGCTCTATCGCATTTTTCAATGTAAAAAATTACTTGGCTCCTGAGAAATGAGCAATGTTGTGATCATAAAACCATTAATTTTACATAAATAAAGACTATAAGTGACTGTCTCTTAGAAACTCAATATTTGTCAGTGAAGAGTTACTTTGGAATACCTTGCATGTGAAACGAGGGTTTCTTTTTAATCATGTGAACTCAGCAAAAAGTGCTGTTCTCTTAGGCAGTTTTGTTTAATATTTTCATTCTTTTTTACAGCATTTCCTTCCATGTTAAATGTATATCTTTTTGTTGATGTTACTTGAAGAACTAATAATTATTATCCTTAACCCCACACCCCCCCCCTCTTTCCACCTACAGGCGCTGGCTTTGATTGAACTGTTCAATGCCCCACAGGGACGCTACAAGCAGGATGTTTATTTGTTGCCAAAGAAGATGGGTATGGAACATTTTTCTCATTTGGCAGCCATTATAAAATGATAACTTTCCAAAGTGCCAACTTGCTTTTTCACTAAAATTGTTACATCAGCATCAGACACTTTACTGTTCTGTAAAGTGTAGGTGTAGTGTATCCTTGCATTGAAAGTAAAGAACTTTTTTTCAAATGCAAAAATACTGCTAGGTCTAGCTGTAATGTATCCTTGCATTGAAAGTAAAGTACTTTTTTTCAAATGCAAAAATACTGCTAGGTCTAGCTGTAATGTATTCTTGCATTGAAAGTAAAGTACTTTTTTTCAAATGCAAAAATACTGCTAGGTCTAGCTGTAATGTATTCTTGCATTGAAAGTAAAGAACTTTTTTTCAAATGCAAAAATACTGCTAGGTCTAGCTGTAATGTATTCTTGCATTGAAAGTAAAGAACTTTTTTTCAAATGCAAAAATACTGCTAGGTCTAGCTGTAATGTATTCTTGCATTGAAAGTAAAGTACTTTTTTTCAAATGCAAAAATACTGCTAGGTCTAGCTGTAATGTATTCTTGCATTGAAAGTAAAGAACTTTTTTTCAAATGCAAAAATACTGCTAGGTCTAGCTGTAATGTATTCTTGCATTGAAAGTAAAGAACTTTTTTTCAAATGCAAAAATACTGCTAGGTCTAGCTGTAATGTATTCTTGCATTGAAAGTAAAGAACTTTTTTTCAAATGCAAAAATACTGCTAGGTCTAGCTGTAATGTATTCTTGCATTGAAAGTAAAGAACTTTTTTTCAAATGCAAAAATACTGCTAGGTCTAGCTGTAATGTATTCTTGCATTGAAAGTAAAGTACTTTTTTTCAAAAGCAAAAATACTGCTAGGTCTAGCTGTAATGTATTCTTGCATTGAAAGTAAAGTACTTTTTTTCAAATGCAAATATACTGCTAGGTCTAGCTGTAATGTATTCTTGCATTGAAAGTAAAGTACTTTTTTTCAAATGCAAATATACTGCTAGGTCTAGCTGTAATGTATTCTTGCATTGAAAGTAAAGTACTTTTTTTCAAATGCAAATATACTGCTAGGTCTAGCTGTAATGTATTCTTGCATTGAAAGTAAAGTACTTTTTTTTCAAATGCAAAAATACTGCTAGGTCTAGCTGTAATGTATTCTTGCATTGAAAGTAAAGTACTTTTTTTCAAATGCAAATATACTGCTAGATCTAGCTGTAATGTATCCTTGCATTGAAAGTAAAGAACTTTTTTTCAAATGCAAAAATACTGCTAGGTCTAGCTGTAATGTATTCTTGCATTGAAAGTAAAGAACTTTTTTTCATATGCAAAAATACTGCTAGGTCTAGCTGTAATGTATTCTTGCATTGAAAGTAAAGTACTTTTTTTTCAAATGCAAAAATACTGCTAGGTCTAGCTGTAATGTATTCTTGCATTGAAAGTAAAGTACTTTTTTTTCAAATGCAAAAATACTGCTAGGTCTAGCTGTAATGTATTCTTGCATTGAAAGTAAAGTACTTTTTTTTCAAATGCAAAAATACTGCTAGGTCTAGCTGTAATGTATTCTTGCATTGAAAGTAAAGTACTTTTTTTTCAAATGCAAAAATACTGCTAGGTCTAGCTGTAATGTATTCTTGCATTGAAAGTAAAGTACTTTTTTTTCAAATGCAAAAATACTGCTAGGTCTAGCTGTAATGTATCCTTGCATTGAAAGTAAAGTACTTTTTTTTCAAAAGCAAAAAAGCACTGCTTGAAGGGAGGCTTTTCCCCATGAAAATTGTTGATGGACATTGCCTTTAAACATTTTAGTTTGGCAATGGTGGAGACTTGTAGCTATTCATATTGTGGTAGAGGTTGTCTGTAAATTTTCATCCCTCTGAAAAAGTTGTTTCTTGCTTTGATCACTTTAGCACTTTATTCTGTGTCCCTCGTGAATGAACTAGTGGGAAGATTTCTGATCTAATTGAAACATTTTTCCCTATGGTCCTCCCTGACAGATGAGTATGTGGCTAGTCTTCACCTCCCGACGTTCGACGCACACTTGACTGAGCTCTCTGACGATCAGGCCAAGTACCTGGGCCTCAACAAAGCGGGCCCCTTCAAACCCAACTATTACAGGTGAGTTGACTTGACCCTGACTGCGGGGGGGGGGAGCAATGAGGACTCTTTTCAAGATTCTAGACAGTTACAAGTATAGAGCTCAGTAGACATACACACTCACATCTCATATTCATACATACACACACACATACACACGTGTACTGGGAGAATAGTGTGTGTGGGGTTCGGAGGGGGTGATGAGGAATAATTCTAGATAATAGCAATTATAGTACTCAGTAGCCATACACACTCTCATCTCACACACGCTGACAACATTCGCACTCACACACACTGTCACTCTCTCACACATACACATCCAAACAGAGATAAATATGGCAGGAGGTGGGGAGAGGAGAGGCAGGCACCTCACCCTTTCTCTACTTTGACCATGATTTTTATAGTGTTCATATTTAAATTAACTCGTAACTCGAACGACCTTGTTGCTTTCTGTTCCACAGATACTGATGTAGGTAGAACGCTAGCAAGTTCAGAAGGGATTCTCTTTCTTGTGATGTGATGCCTTGCACTTCTTCCTACCATTCCATCGGCTTTCAGCGTCAAGACGTTTTCCTCGCCACCAATACATTTCAGTTCATTAGCTTATCAGCATATTTTTTCTTTTGAATAACACGTTTCATTCTGTTAAGTTTTAAGAGTTTTTGTCAAAATAACACGTTTTGTTCCATTAGGTTTAGATCATTTCTTTCAATCTCAAAGGTACATTTTTACTTGTCATTCAGTTGTCTCGGTTAGTATTTAATTTCGGTAATGAACATTTTGTTTGCTTTTTTTTCCCAATTATTTTGGGGGTTGCCAAGTTCTTGTATCACGTTCCTGTCATCCTCTCAAGAGCTGAGCTCTCTTGTTTTAAAAGCAGCAAACAACATCGATGAAAAGACACAAAAATTGATAACAGACATCTGTCAAAGATTGTTAAAGCTGGGTCACTCCTCTATTTAAAAAAACGAAATGAAATATCCTATACAGCACTCAACGACATCTTTGTTGAGGCTCATAAATAGCCATGGAAGGCTGTTTTCATGGAGTGACATATCTTGTGCACAATCTTTGCAACTGCATGTGTTAATATGGTCCACTGTGATCGTTCCATACCCCTCCACGATGCCATGTGTTCAGGGACGTCAACAGTATATGTGATTGTAGATCAAATGTTCTTATCATATTGTGTTGTTTAGTGCATGTTTAAGGCCTCGGTAAGTTTCTCACGTCCAGAAATAAAAAAGTATGTTTACTCATGGAAAAGATATCTCTTCTTCGACATATAGCCCTGTTATGGTAAATATCTGTAATGGTAGTCGAAGTAACGAAGGGCGCTTTTGACGAACTGGTGGTTAGTCCGTATGGATACTATATATATCATGCTAACTTTTGCTGTAAATCTTCTTCAGTTGTAACTTTGTCGGTGATTGGGATATCTAGCTAGGAATGTGAACCGCATAGCTTATTTACTCCACATACCAAGCCAAGCTGTAGTCTGGGCATGTCATGTCCCAGGGAGAGATTACTTTCTCCGGCTCACGACCTCAGCCTACTGGCATCAGCTTTAATTTTCTGTGCGCTGTTCTGCTCTGTCTTTTTGTTTTATTTTTAACATGTTTCCATAAAATCATTTGGTTTTTGGGGGAGTGGGGGATATTATTTTTTTAATTTGTTCGTTGTTTTTTGGGGGTTTTTTTTTTTAATTTTATTTTTTGTCCTTATGATATGCCCTATGCTCAATGTTTACAAGTTATGTTTGAACAGTAACCAAGAGTGCTATTTTACTAGGCTTGTTTTGTTTTTTTCCCTTTTTTTTATATTGTCCCATGTATTCCAAGTGAAAGAAAAAGAACATCAGCATACCATTTAATTGCTGTCGTAGAATCCTTTTGTCTGATTTCATCCATTTATTTTTCCTAAGGAAAGACAAAACATCAGTGACGTATATACCCCATGTAAAAATGATGACTAACTTGTTGACATGCTTTTACACACATGAAGAAACCGCCTGCCAGAACTTTTACAACAGGCTGAGTGTCAGTGATCTGTTCCCCCTTTTTTTCTTTTTCTTTTTTTTTTTAAAGAAAAGATACGCGAGTTCTAAAACAGTAAATATTTCTGTCATCCCTGTTACTTTCATGTGGTGTTTTTACCTTTTTGGGATATACTGGATGAAAAGAAAATAAAGGACACAGCTGATTTTTCCAGTCCCTTTGGTTACAGAGCCCTAAGAGATTGGGATCACCTCATATCACCTTGCCAAAAAGACAAAAGTCTCGTACTCACTCAGTAACTCCAGTTTGACAAGGTAATTGTTCTCTACACAAGTTCTTGAAGCTGATTATGTATACAGAGACCAAGACAATATTTCTATTGAATATGAGTAAAAGATTAGAAACAATACAGGGGGTGGGGGAGGTTTCTTTTCTTGTACCAGATGTCCTCGATAGTGTTTACGATTGTGACTGTTCAGACATACATTTTATACGTAATAATGTCCACATTAATAGGTTTCCTACTGTCAGTTTGTTGGAAAATCTGTGATGCTCTCATTTTGATCCCACCTGGCTCCAGCACCTCTTGTGTCTATTTCTTTTGTACATACACATGTGCATACACGCGCAAACACATTTGTACTTGGGCTGTGTGCTTGGTGTTCTCAGCCATGATGAGTTTGTTGGCCTGCACAAAAATTTTGGTGTTGAAAAAATTATCTTCAGTGCAGTATCTGAGCTTATGTTAATGGCTCTAGATCATAATTATGATAAAGTGCTGCCTCAGACTTTTCATATCTCGGCTGTGTCTGTCACAGGTTCTCCGATGAAATGCTATATCTGACCTTGTGTAGTTTGACTACATCATCAGTCCTGTCTTCCCTGCCTGGGCCAACTTGTGAGGGAAGGGCCCTGCTCATCTCCCACATGCTCACAAAACGTGGTTTTTTTTTTATCCTTTTTTTTTTGTGTCCATGATTGTTTTATTTTATAACTTTTTGTTTCCAATACCCAAGAGAAGATTTTTTTTGTCATTCATTTTGTGTCGGGTGTTTTCCCACCTGGTCACGCTGAATTTATTTATAATGTTTCGTCTTTGATGCAATGACTTTAGCAGTCTCTCCCTATCTCTCTGTTTGTTCTTGCTGCATACTATGTTGTGCCTTTAGTTGAAGCAAAGAGCATTTTGTCTAGACTGCTTTCACTACTGTGCACCAAAGAGCTCTGAGACTTACATTTTCTCACGTCACTTACATAGCATTTTGTCTAGATTGTGTCAACTTTTCAGTAGCAAATGCTGATCAAATGAGATATTTGTTACATTTGGTTTCAGAGAAATGCGTGACAATGTTTCTGTCGGTTACTAAGTAATGGTGCTGAATAGTTGTAGTATTGATGAACTAAATTCCATTTTCAAGAATACAGGATGTAATTCCAGAGCATGTTGCATTTCAGATGCTGGCTTGCTTTATACAAGAACACACTGAGCATCCTGTTTGGGTTTTTTTTTCAAGATTTTGAAAAGCTAGAGATTTGTTGTAACGACTGTATGTCATTAGAAACTGGGAACCTTTCTGTTTTATAAATTTGTCCATGCTGTGTCAGCCTCTGTAACAGTTTATAGGTTGAAGAAGAGACCTATTAGAGGTGGCCAATAATGTAAGGGCTTTTTAATATTTCTCCAGGCCGATGCCTGGGAATAAATCTGAAGTGCTGACTCTTGTTGTGCGTGAATGAGCAAATGTGAGAACTCTGATATTTTTGTAATCAAGCATCTCTCATGAGGCAATTCTGATCAAGTACACTTTGTTTCTGATTCTAGTGTGCTCTAATGCGTTTTTCTCCACATGTTCCAGCTGATTGTAGCCACGTTTGCATCGCTGCGTGTTGCATCAGGTGTAGATCTGTTTCTTTCTTCTCTCCGTTGTCCCTAGAAATAAGTAACACGATGTGATTGTGTTTAGAGTAGCTCAAGTCACAGAGTTGATGTTATCCAAGACAAAGAATTCATTATGATTTACTATGTCTGCTGTCAGTGCGAGACTGTGCATGACACGAGAGAGTGTGCGTTGTGGACATGAAGTCGTCAGGTTTTGCACCTTTCTGTTTTGGCATTGTATTGACTTGTTTGTGTCGATAGTGCCTAAAAAGTGAAACACTGTCTGTCAGCTCCTGGAAAATTTGGAGGAGCAGCCGCTGTGTCCCGATCCTGGTGTCAACTCGCCATATTAAAGACTGAATGTTATCCAGTTGGTTCAAATAGCTCAAATCAAGACTCTTGTCAGAAAGTGAGAATAAAGAGAAAGTGTATGTTATTGTATCAGCAGTTTCAAGTTAGAAGGCAGCAGCTTGTTGTGGGAGGTTCTGTGTTCGAGTCTTTTATTTTTCAGATTAGTCTTTTTTGTTCGGTTGTAAAGAATGAGAGGTCTTAAGTGCTTTCTGAATAGAAATATTTTTGTAACCCCCCACCGAGGATCCTTTTGTTTCCAACATCCTCTGTTAGGACCTGAGTGGGGATGCCAAAGACGTGGTCTCCTATGTTGAGGGGCAGTACTTACAAACATCTACCTTATGTCCCCCAGAGAGTTGTTGCTTAGTTGATTCTCAAGGAAAGTGTAGCGATAGTGATAGTGTGCTCTTTAGTGTGACTGGCTCTACCTGGCACTTATTTAATTTACATAACAAACTCTGCTGGTCTCACTCAGTCAAGAGGTCATCTGCAGAACCAGATCTGAATTTAATGTGGGTTTTTTTGTTTTACATTTTACATGTGAATCTTTTGCTGTTTTCAGAGACTTGAAGTTGACAGATTAATATTTGTGTAGATTTGGGATGTTGGATTTGTTGGGGAGGGGGGGGGGTGGTTGGTAAAAAAAATATATTTTCACTATTACTGCATAAAATAGTGGCTGTGCAGGAGTATGTGTGTCCACTCTGACAAAAAGGAGCTGTGCATTAATTGCAAGGCTGTCCTTGGTCCACATCTGTATGTGTGAAGGAGTTTGGTTTGTTAGCCTGCCTGGCTTGACCAGTTTGCTCAACACTGCACCTCCAGAACTTGTGGAAGATTTCATGAAGTTTCCATCAATAGTTTTCCATCCAGGTCAGATCTTTTGAATTTTCAGGGATTGAAAACAATTTCTTATTGCTCAGGAGCAGCATTGGCCTCTCTTTTCCTCATTAAGTCTGCAGCAAAACTTGTAAGACAGTGCTTGCATTTCACACTCAGTGTTTGTTAAATGCCCCACTGGCACTATTCGAAGACATATTTTCCTCTTCACATTCACATTACTTTCAGCTATGCAGTGATATTTAGGTACAGGTATTTCTCCATTCCTTTCCATGTGTTGGATGTGAGTTTTGAAGGTATATGCTCACAGTTCCATAATTTTTTTTCTTCTGTGCAGTCCACATGGTTACGGGGGAGTGGGAATGAGCCATAAAGCTGCTCCCTTTCTCATGTGAGAAGCAGTTTAGCTTTTTTTTCTCATCATAGTTGAATGGAATGTGAGACTTAGCTAGTTAAAAATTTGTCCAACAGATGGAAGTCTGAGGTTAGAATCTGTGGGACATTTGTTTTACATGGTCCTGAACAGGATGTTTATCTCCCAGCCTTGTGCCCTATCAGGAGACTAAGTGCCCCTCGTTAAAAATTCTGTCTTCAGTTGGAAGTTATAATCCAACAGGTACTGGGAAACACATAAAGGTAGTTCTTTTGTTGTGTTTTTCTGGTGTGATCACCTTCAAAAGAGGGCCTTGGGTGAGGTCTTGCTTCTAACCCCCTCTAGCCTCAGAATGTGTTGTGAGTGAGAATGAAAGTGTGACTTGAGAATGTATTATTGACATGACATGGTTGGATAATATCATTGTAATTATCAAATTTCAATGCAGTCATTAATAAAGTAAATAGTATCAGATATTGTCCTTTTGACTCATTTTTTTTTGTTGCTGTTTTTTTTTAAACTGTGTTTTTAACTGCTTCTTTACTATCTCTCTTTATCTCTCTGTTTTTGTGTTTTACTTTCTCTGAGTAGTAAACCTGTTTTGTGTTCCATGCACTTAACCCCTCCCCCCCCCCCTCTCTCTCTCTCAATCTCTCTCTCTCTCTGTTTCTCTTTCACTTTATCTCTCTCTCTATTTTTCTTTCTCTGTTTCTCTCTCTCTCTTTGTCTCCCCCCCCCCCCCCCTCTCTCTCTCTCTCTCTCTTTCATGTGGTTAAAGCTTACTCTTCTGTGATCAGTTTCTACTTTTTTGCTAGTGTTTATTGTATCCTAATTGCTGGTTACAGTAGAGCATTACTTGTTGGTCATTCTTCTTTTCTTTACCACTACAGTTTGTCTCATTGTCCTGCCTTTTTACCACTCTAAATAACTGTTGTGTCGTCACCACTTGTGCAGGGATGTTTTGAAAGAGTGTTACCTTCCAGGCTCAATGAAACTGTTGGCTTTGGACTTGACCAACATGTGGGAGGTCTGCTCAAATTTGAACCTGAGAGGATTTCAAATTTAAAGTAATAATATTTTATAGTGCAGATATCCCCTTCTAGAAAAGCTCACTTGACGTCACTATAACTCTCCACCCCAAGGAGGTACAGTAAGCTCCTTGTTTCCGATGTACTGTCTCAGGCATGTGAAGGACATGCAGTGTTGCAGGGAAGTTGACACTTGGTGCAGGTTGTTAGCGGGTGCTCTGGGGTGGTTTACTCCTTCTTTCCTATCGTGGGTGGTTGGCGGGTGCTCTGGTGTGATTTGCCTCTTCTTTCCTATCAAACATCTCTCTTCTTTATCTCTCCCTCTTTTTTGTGTTGTCACTCTCTTGTAACACCTCTAATCTTTCACACTTATATGACCTAATTGTGTAGCAAGTGCCGTAAATCATATACTAAAACTGAACTTAAAAGACACTTGGTGGTGTCCCTCATATTTTGTCTCAACCAATTTAGAAGTACTCCAGCTGGTGAGTGAATTCTTGTGACAAATCTGATATTATGTTGTCCACAACTGAACACACAATATTTCAACTGTTGTATGAGTCTAAATAAAAAGGTATCATTTTAATCCACTAAGAGAATTTACACTATAGACTCCACAACACGCATCAGTGAAAAAACAGTATCCAGCCTCTTATCTTTTTGTTTATCCTCTTCTCTTTTTTCTGGCTTGTCTTTTCAATCCTCTGTTACCGTTAAGCGTCAAAGGGAGATGCAGTTTTCTTTGGTAGGCCAGCTCCGCTGCTCTTTCAACTGGGATATTATAATTTCTAAGGGTTTCCTTGACTCCTTTTATAGTATAGCTTGAGTGCTTGGTGTTTCATTTATCCTAACACCTCTAATCTTCAGCATTAATATGACCTATTAGTGTTGCAAATGCTGTAAAACTCTTACTAAAACTAAAGATTTGAAAAATCATTCCAGACAAATTAGAGTAAAGCAAAATTGTTTATTTCTTTGAAGGTTTAGCGTTTAAAGAGCACAATAATGCACATTGAAGGGTCATATAATAACATTAATCACATCAGCAGGTTCAAGAAATGTAGTTCAGAGTAGCGGTGAAAATGTCCAAGTATCTTGGAGCATAGAGAGAACTTTGTGCACTTCAAGGATCACACATCCTCATTGTGACTTAACAAATTGGAAACAAATACAAAAGTATTTTAAAAAATTGTAAGAGAACATGGGAGGGAGGGAGGGAGGGAGGGAGGGAGGGAGGAGGCTACTTTGATACTGAGATTAAAATTAGTTGACACAGAGGCGTCGGCTTCCAGGAGCATGATTTATAGTATTGATCTGCTCTTATGTGTTTGTTTACTCTTGATCTCCGAAGGGGGTACACCCCACTATGCCGGGGCCCGTGTTTGGTACTAAATTTAAAAATGACAAAATCGCCACTAAATTGGTCATTAAATCAAAACAAAAACTTATTTCGATAGTTCTTTTTCTAATGAATGAAATCCCAATAAAAGAGACCTGTTTTCGTTAACTGCCAAAAAGTAATTTGATGTTGAAGTGGTCGCAAAGGAATGTGCTCGAGCCACTGCCAGCGACTCCGGCACAGTGGTTCCGAATGCGAGCTGCTGGGAGCGGCTTGCCAGAGATAAAGAGTTAAAAATACACTGACTAGTTTTTTTAATGGCATAGTTCTGTGGCTGACACATAAAGCACTACCTGTTTGTCGAGCATTAAGTGGTGAGCATCTTTTTTTTCTCAAAGATATAGATTCCTACATAAGCATGATGCATATCAAGATCTGAGAAGCAATAGGGATGTACGGATGTAGTCCCCTGTATTTCCTTTGGTGAGACGGTAAAGCATTCTGATTCATGAGCAACACGCAAGGGTGAATCATAATGAATGATGATGCTCACAATTTTAAAGGAATTCATAAAAACAATTATGGTTTCCTGTCACATTCAAAAGAAAAGAATAAAAGGAAAACCGGACAACACAAGAACTCACACCAAAATTTCAACAACTTACCAAAATGAATTGTCCGACATGTAACAGCCTCATTAAAAAGATTGAAAATATTGTAAGTTTGCCCATTTAAAAAAATTAAGAAAATTGCCACAACGAGCATCATATTGTCCTCAGACAAAACAGAGGGAGAGTAGCAAAGAAGTATACCCTACATGTGGCACCATCCAACCAGCTGTAATTTGTTGAAAACATATACATTAATATTACTATTGCAAGGTGCATACAGAAAAGCAAAACAGAAAACACAGAGCTTACAGAAAATCTTCTGGGTATAACAATATGTAGGGGAGTTATGATTTTAAAAAGTATGATATAAATACAAACTTCACATGAGGGAAGCATCAAAAGTTTTCAAGCAGCTGGGGTTGTGTAAATGCGTTAAAACAATTTGAAGGAGCAAGCTGAAAATGCATGACGCTATTTCCATTTTTCAGAACAGAACTCAACATAACAAAATCATACCAAATCAAAACTCGAAAAGTTGAAATTTTAGTTAATAAACCTGTATCTCTTCCAAAACAAAGCTCACAAAACTTCACAAGAACTCCCCTTAGCCAACCAGTTCATTTCAATTCCCTATCAGAATCCCCTGAGAGATATACTGCACGGGAGCATGTTAAGTACATGTACTCAAACACTGAAATTTGCGTATTGCCATCCAAGCCAATTGCCAAGTACCCATTAACAGATGAGACAACACTTGAAACGGTGGCGTAGAACCTTTCCTCAGATATGACATCCTACTCCGTCAGTCAGCGATAGAACCCCATATCGTCAGACTGCAAGCGTGATATCATAACTCTTTGAAGATCTAGAAATCTAATTAAAAATCAAGCATTAGCACTGGCAGGAAGTAACAAAATTAGAGCGTTAAAGTCAAATAAAAAAAGTGTTTAGATCACAAGCCATTTACCAAACAAAGTCTTTTCCATAAGCATGTTGTACATTTAAGGGAAAGGTGACTGAATGAAAGACAAAAAAAAATGAACAACCTAAAAACCTAATATTTTTCAAATAATCTCTTTGTATTACAGGCCCACATTCCGCTACAGATCATGTTCTATGAGGCCTGCTTGAGTTTGTCTATATTATTATTACATTTACATATATATTGGCAAGACATCTGGGATGAGATAACCACCAGACTACAACACCCCCATCAGCACCCGAACACAAATATAATCCTTCAAATAATAGTGCTGGATAGAAGCATGATGACACACAGACACAATAAATGAAATAGCAAAACGAAAGAAATAGCATTGACTGCCTGTGCTAACTCCAATAAGCACATGAGCCTTAACTTAGAACTTGTGCAACTATCATATTCTTTCAAACTTCTACGACAAACACGCACCTTCTAAAAAAAATGGAAACACTTTCATATAAATTACAGCTGCTAATTTCCAATGACACATACATGCATGCTTATACAAAATTTCTTTAAAAAACACGAAAGCACATATAAAATACACAAAAAAACTGGCAGCAGTTTTGGGTAAGCTACACCACAAATCAGCATGACAAATAACGATAACAAAACAACAATAAGCAGATATCATAAATGAGCACCAGTGTGTTTAAACCTGTGAGCCTGAAATCCAACAGGACCCCATGTAAGACGAGGTAGAAAGCTATGGCATATTTAAATTGCGTGCATATTAGTAGGAGACAATATACAGCTACAGCTGATTCGAACAAATTCAAAAGTTCAAAACTGTTTACTTTCTTTACATCAGATAGGAATAACCAAAAGGCTCTGTGTGAGAGTTAAAGGTGCAGCAACAACGAGAGGATGAGTCTGGTGATCCCTTACTAAGACACACATTCTAACTTTTTAAATGTAATACAAAGAGAGGTAAGTAAGGCAGCCTTTTTGCAATCAGAAGCAAAACTAAAAAACAAAAGACTGAATTTGTTATTTTTTCAAAATTTTAAAGAAAAGCACGTTTGGTAGATGAATGGCACTTTCATGCCACTTCATAGACATAAATAAGAGAAAACAATGGCCTTTCATGTCAGAATAAGATAATTCAAGTTTCACTGAAACACTTAAAACTTACAACCTAGAATCACGGCTATTGTTTTATGTCCCTATAGACACAGTTAAGATCAACTTGGATTTAAGTTTCTTCAAATGTGGCAGGAAAAGCCATCCAAACAGAAAAGAGAAACATTCTCAATAAGATATGTGTGCCTGCCTCAGAAAAGGGTCCACGTGTTCATTTTGTTTTTTTCTCTTGTAGTTTATTGTATTTCTGCATAAAATTACATTTCTTAGTGACTGTTGTTTTTAATTTGTCAGATATGTCAATTAAATAGGTTGAAGAAAAGTGATTGTTGAGGTGAGTGATATCATGAAGAATCTCACTTTTCCCCAAAACATCATTTTTCCACGATAGTCCCCTTTAAAAAAAAGAAATCTTTTGTGACTTCAAGACTCTTTTGTCAGTTACACACACACATTATCTTCCCCTCTGTGTAGAAATTAAATTCATATGTGTCACAACTTTGTGGAATCAGGCGCTCGTCACTTTTTGGGCATATGTGGTTATTGATATCATCATAAAGACTGTTTATTTGCCTTCTTTTTGGAGGAAAAAATATCCATCTATATTGAACAAAAGTCAAGATATTTGCAATTGAAGGAGATATAGCCCTTGGTTTCAGTGGTAAAAATTACGAGAAACTGGCCGCCAAAGTTTGGTGACTTCAATAGGTTCAGAGTCCTTGAAAACAGAAAAATCATATATTTTGAGCCTTTAAAAAATGTTTTTCAGTAAATTTCACATGGAAATGTGTTTCTATATCGACATAAAAGGTGTTGAGCAAAAAAATAAAAATTCAATAAAAATGGCCAAACTGGCGGAAAAATGCCTGTTTCTTCAATTTCATTATTTTGATAAGCACCTGTTTTCACCACGCAGCCTCACATATATTTTCCCTGCAAGCTGAAGAGCCTTAACCATTACATCATACCTGCCGGTAAACCTAGACCATAGAGATCACTTTGTTAGAGATACAAAATAATTTTAAGCCCTTCGTGAATATATATGATGTACACCATTCATCATTTTTTTCCTATTCAGTGAAGGAAGCAGATTACTGCTGTGACATATGACGCACATCATGCTTTGCAAAGCAAGAGGACCTTGTTGACAAAGGTTGATCGTCATAGTTTGTGTTCAGCACACTGCTTCTGTTAGATGTAACTCGTAAAACCAAATCCAGATTCATATGCAGGGATATTTATCCTGTACAAAGAAATCTTTTCCTTTTTGAGATAGTTGGTAGTGTTTATAAATGGGGTCTAATTATGGGCAACTGTCCGCTAAATCTAATACTACTCTTTGTCCCTAGGGATCCCAAACTATGCACAGAGCAGGACGATCTGACCCTGTGTCACAAATGGGTTACAATTGAGAACAGTCAAGACTTCAGGAGCAGCTTCCACCATAAGGAATAACGTCTATACTGGAGCCCTAAATACTGCACTACAATAATTCAAGTATATGGTGCACTTCTAATAAATACCACAACCTATACGGCACTATCAGCCAAACAGAAAAATGAATAGACACAACAATAAAAATGGTTCTCAGAAAATGAAAATTCAAACACTAGAAATTTCATTTTTCCGTATGCTTCAGAAAAAGTGCCCATTGGTGTAGCAGAAAACCCTGATGCAAGGGTACAAATGAAAAAGTAATTTAGATAAATTACAAAATGGGAAAGGAAAATTAAGCAACATAGATCACATCTAATACCAAGTCAATAAAAAGAATAAGTAAACATAGTGCAACTTTGGTTTTGCATTTGGTTCTCTTTTTGAACTACTCATGTCTTACATTCACAAAGAAAATGACACCTTTTCTCGTACCGTACTTAATGCGCTGAAATGTAAATATTTTCAAACATAGATCCTACTCTTGCATCAAGAATGATAAGAAGATTAATAAGAAAGAAAAATTTGTCACAAATTAGTACATTTTCCAAAATTTACAGGGCAAAGGAAATACTTCTACTTACTTTTTACACTTAGATATAATGTTAAACAGACACATCCTTTTAGACTATAGAGACCTAAGGGAAGCAATGAGGGATACAAAAGCAATATGTCATGTAAAGAAACCCATCAGAAGATCAAAAGTAGCTATCAACTTCATGACTTGAACAAATCAAGAACCTTATTTCAAAACCTTTTGTGATGAGCAGTGCTCTCATCTCTGAAGAGCTGATACTCTCTTTGAAGAGAGAAGAGTTCACAATTTCAGAGCACAATTCTTCATGTCTGACAATGTTCTCTTTCCGTTAAAAGGCTATCAAATGGAGCCATGAGAACTTTCACCAAAATTTCTAGTTATAAAAAGCAATATCTATCCTCTGCCCCTTTCTGTGAGAGATAAGAAAACTAGGAGAACTCTAAAGCCTCTAGAGAGTTGCTGGGTCCCCGCATGGAGAGGCCCCCGGTCACGAAGAGACGTCCCTGGAACAGGGTGAACGAGCATGAACAGTGGGTGGACGGGATGTCTGTCACGGAGCTCCAGCAGTTTGAGTCCACATCAAAGACTTCCACCGTACTCAGAGGCTTGCCTTCATTACCTGTTTGGGGAGGGGGGGGGGGGGGGGGGTTTTTTGGTGAGAGAGAGAGAGAGAGAGAGAGAGAGAGAGAGAGAGAGGGAGGGAGGGAGGGAGGGAGGAGAGAGAGAGAGAGAGAGAGAGAGAGAGAGAGAGAGAGAGAGATGTTAAAGGTGAAGGTGAATCTTTTCAACAAGGTTCAAGGACAGGAAATTCAATAATCCCATTCCAAGAATGCAGCTTTCAACTAATGTAAAATGACAGACATACTACCATGTGACTCTAGGAGTACAGAAAACTGATGGGACAGAAAAAAACCCCTCACTTGTTCCATCAGTTACCAAAACTAAACACATAAAATCTGCATAAAGTACTTTTTTTTTCAAATGACTGCATTATCTTAATATGATTCTTTACATATCTTTCAAATGTTTGGTTGATTTAAAGTTGAAATTAATTAACTGATATTGAATTACGAGACAGTGTTATCCTTGTAAGAAAGTATAGTCCAAATGTCCCGTCAGTTACAGTGGAATGGCCTTCTATCATCAATCTTACAAAGAAACGTGAAGAAAACGTAACTGACCTAGGCCTCCTGCACAAACCAACTTGCCACCAACGATGCCCACAGCAAAGTCTCCTCTCTTGGTGGGCATGGACGGGCCAACTCTCCACTCTCCTAGAGGGTTGAAAAGAGCACAAAAACAAGATTAAAAGGAAACCTGTTTGAGTTCAGACATTGAGAACTACAGATATAAATTTATGCCATTTTGCATTGCATTTTTACCTAGTATTTGCAATACAGGGCAGCAGTAAAGAAAGTTTCAATTCAAGTATTTTTAAAACAAAGATGTTTATACCATATAAGTTTATATTGCATTTTGACCAAGACAAAATTAATTTAAGCAAGAGTTTTCACAAAAACATTTCCAACTCCCCCCCCCCCCCCCCCCACCCCTCCCCCTATTTTTCCCCCATACAAAAATACTTGACCCATACAATAGTCATCAAATAAAAACTTTGTTTCTTCTATTCTCTGTGAGATAGATTTAATAGTTTTTCCAAATAAAACAAAATGTAAGAGCTGCTACATAAGAATGAGTTTGCAGAAGACCAGAAAGGAAAACAAAAAGGTGATGGTGTGGCTTGGCCTTGACCTTTCCCTTCAAAGTCACTCGGACTACACTTAAACCCCTCTCTAACACGCAGTGATCGACCAGATGAAACTCGTTGAAAATCTGCTGTTATTAACTTTCAACAACTTTGGTTCAAAAGACTACAAAAAATTCTATACTAAAAATAAATAAAGAAAACATTTCTCATTATGTAGGCTAACATTTAAACTGTTTCCATTTATATTGATATAAAAAGTGACATATGTGTCACAACATGGTGGAATCAGGCATTCGTTGATTTTAAGCCATGTGGAGTTACTTTTATCACCTTAAAACTTATTCATTTTGCCTTGCTTTCCATAAAAAAAATTACCTATGTATGTTGAAAAGAAGTCGAGATATTGGCAAGTGAAGGAGGTGGTGTTGCCTGATTTCAGAGGTAAAATTAGCAAGAAAATGGTCCTCAAAGTTTGGTGACTTACAAGTTCGAGAGTGCATGGAAACTGCAAATTTACATTTTTTGTGCCTTTGATCAACATTTTTCAGTAAAATCTACACATCAATGTGTTTTTTAAAAAATGTGTAGAGCCAAAAAAAAACAATTCGAAAAAAATTGTCCAACGGCCACTAAAATGCTGATTTTTTTTACCTCATTATTTTGATGAGCACCTGATTTCACCACGATGCCTCACATATGCTAAATATCAAGTAGAGTGAAAAAATGTGTCACAGAAACGTGTACACACCAAAGTTATATGACCATGGTCAATAGTAGTGCACAGCTTTGGCAAACAGCATATATACGAGGCATCATGGTGAAATCAGGCGCTCATCAAAATAACAAATTCATAGAAACTGTCATTTCCCCGCTCAGTTGTCAATTTTTATAGATTTTTGTTTTTTCCTTCGACACTTTTTGCATGCATCTAAAAAGACATTTCTGTGTGGATTTTATTGAAAAACATTGATTAAAGGCGCAAAAAATGTATAATTTCTCAGTGTCCATGGACTCTTAAGCTTTGGAAGTCACTTAACTTTGACTCCCATTTTCTCACCAATGTTACCTCTGAAACCAGGGGACCCCACCTCCTTCAATTGTAATCATCTCGACTTCTATTCATGAGATGAGTATTTTTTTCTTCGAAAGCAAGACAAAAGAACAAGCTTCAAGATGATACCAATTAGCCTACATGCCCAAAAATTGGTAAGCGCCTGATTCAACCATGTTGTGACACAAATAAGTAACAAGAGCATAAGCTGACTAGAAAAGAAAAAACTTGTTCCATCACTTGATGGGAGAGAAGGGAGGGGACTGCTCTATGACTAGATTGGACATCTTATTAGAGTCAAGTTGTGATGGTGATAACAAATAGATGACAATGGTGATGATGATGACGATGATAATGATCATGATGATAAAATGTGCAACTTTTCTATATATTATAAATTTGGAATCTTCAAGCTTTCAACAATGATGATGATGACGATGACGATGATGAATAAGTATGGGAAGAGGTTAAAATTGTTCAATTCAGGATGATTTTCACTCAAATGACTTTGATACTAGACAGAGGAATGAAGTATACAAGATTTTTAATGAGAAGCCTTTACATGTACACGCATTTTGGCTGAAAAGTAGAGTAAGGATTACATCAGGGGTCTCTAAGGTACCACCATAGATATAGATAAAAGCAAAAATGAAGACTGCTTACAAAATCATGATGACAAACAATAAATTAATATCTCCTAGTCGTTCATAGAAAATTATCTAAAATATATTTTAAAAAGAGATCCAATGACTAAATGTTTTACTTTTGAGACAGCAGTTGGCAAACTTTAACAATCGATTCAGCATAATATGTAGAAATAGTAAAAACAAAGTTTTAGACATCTTTCTCTGTCACGCACACCTACCTTTTTCGATGTTGTAAATTTCACAGACATCTGAAAATCCCTGACTGGCAGGTTGCAGCAAGCCTCCAACACTGAAGATATTCTTCTCATCTGTCGCGTACATGGCAAACACACGCTTGCTGGGAATATCAGGCAACTTTTGCCACTGTCGAGTCGAGAAGTCATACACTTCAAACGCTGTAGTTGGCAGCTTACCTTGTCTTCCACCTTTATGTTCAATAGGAAAAGAATTTGATAATATTCAAGAGTAAAACACACACGCATGCACGCACACACATATATATATACACATACACATGCACATATATACATATATACACTCAGACATATATATATAGTGTAAATATACATATGATAGTCTAGTGATTTAATATCCATAAAACTAACAGAAATATCAAGTGGTGAATCTCTTTTAAAAAAAAACCATTCTATACGTAAATAGCTCCCCTTACAGTAAAATATAAAAATATTTTAATATAAATTTTACGCCTTCTTTCTACAGCTGATATCACAGTACCATCTTAGATTTTATCTAAAAGGTTCAAGGTTCATAAGGAGAAACTGGCTCTGCCAGAACTCTGACATGTTCAGTCATTGAGCTTCTGTAGAAGAATATGAGAAGTCACCTAAAACATATGCCTTGTCTCCAATGAGGAAGGAGAATGTTGCATATCTTGGGGTGATCATCGCGGGAAGTTTCTGCCAACTGTTTGTCTCCAGATCCAACTCAACGAAGGCATCAGTCGGGTTTGTGTCTTCCGCCATCCCTCCAATGAGATAAACCTTGTTGTCTGCAGAAGAAACAATTCAAAATGACACTGCAGTGACAGAAGGAAAAAATCTTCATTGTTACTAATCCAGTAATGTATGGCCTTTCTCTTTGGTTAATCCCACTACCACAAGGTGATGGAAAGTTCTCTTCAAAATTATTGTTACAAGAAGCAGAATTTCGATACTGCCTTTAACAAAGTAAAAGTTCCCTTACTTCATTTGAATTTACTATGTATGAGCATTCTCATACATGTAACTGAAAATTGTAGTTCTGAACTTAAACAAATTTCAATACTTCTGACTACAACTTTGCCTTGACTGACAGGAATGTGAATAATGGTCATTTTAAAAAAAATTTGACATCCTGTTGTAAACAAAAGACACCAAAAGACAAATGAATGAGATGCAGACAAAAATCTATGCAGTATATTCATCACATGCAAGAACTGATCAACAGTATACATTTGACACTGGCAGGGTTTACCACAAAGAAAGTATCATGAAAAGGACTGACTACAAATATTTAACTTTTTGAATCCAGCTGTGTTGATCAATCTTTTCAATAGAAAAAGATGAAAACAGTACTTAATAACAATTTAATAAAAGAATATTACCTTTCACGAAGCTAGAAATGCCCAACAGTTTCTTCCCAAGAGACTCTACAACTTGCCATTTCTTCTCAGACATATCATATATCTCCACAGCATCCAGAGGACTCTGGGACTCTGCAACTCCGCCCACTGCAACGATTTTGTTCCCGATACCGGCCACTGCCGGTGCAGCACGCTTGGTTGGGATGTTCTGTAGACGATGCCACTTCTTCTGTTTTGTGTTGAACATTTCAAAACTGTCCACAGGAACTCCTCTTTCATCACACCCACCAATGATGTACAAATTATCTTCATGAACAAGAGAAGAGGCAAAAACCCTTTTCGAAGGCATAGCCTTCAGAGTCTCCCATTTGTACGCCATTTTGAAAATCCACGTCTGAAAAATAAGATAAAATAACATTCAAAGTATGCTTGATACGTAAGCAAGCAAAATATCCATATATTAATTAGCATCAGAGGTTCAAAGAATAAAAGATGTAAGAAAAAAAAGAACAATATTAATTAGTACAGATGTTGGAACGTGCAACAAAAGAGTCGGGACTAATAAAATATAAAGACAGTGCTTTTACAGCCGATATTAGAGAGATCTGACTAATAAGATTGCCTGAGACTTATTGTTCTAAAACCTCCTTCAGAAAACAAAACAAAACAAAACAAAACGAAAACCAAAAAAGTAAAACAAAAAGAAAAACAAAAGCCATGAATTGCAGTTCGTGAATCAACATTTTTTTAATGCTTTAATTTCCCACACACTGGGGCTAGTAACTGTGTAAAGCTCTATTTAGAGAGCAGTGGTGAGAGTAGGAAACACTCATCTTGTCAAATTATTACAAAAAGTGCATGGACTACAGCTTATTGTCACTGTCACCACACACCTACATATTTTCACCAAAATTCGTGAATGAAAGCAAGTTTCCTTAAATTACACAAGCCTACATTTTTGTGTATATTTAAATGTTAGGCCTCCACTTTCGTTACATTTTAGTTACAGAAAAATAGAAACCTTAGGCCGAGTTGCTAGAGTATGTGTAAGCCTAGAGCCTTGTGTGTCACAAAACGCACACATTTTACTTCCTCGCTTTATCCAATGCTGATCAATGTGTCATGGAAGTCTAGATAACACCAGCCCTAAACAACTTTCCCATCCTACTTTAACCCTCCAAGTGTTGCTAACAAATAGCCCATGGTGTCAGGAAAAATTATATGATTTCAATATATGTTGGAAAATGCATGAGGACAAGCAAAGCAAGCAAGTGTAAAGGCCATATATAAGCCTACATTTTAAGAAAGTAGAATGTAAATAGGAAAAAGAGCTCATTTTTAAGGAGTTGAAAAATTTGACGATATTTTTAAAAAAAGGATATAAAATGAACTTACAGCCGACTACACTACCTCAGAACAAAACTTACAACCAATTTTATCGGCTGTTGACACTTGGAGGTTCAAAGAAACTTCCAGCTCTCTGCTCAATGTGTAAGGATACAATGTCATATAGTTCTGTTCTCTTAATTAGGACACATTAGTAAGTTTAAAAAGAAAGATTTGGTAAATTTTTATTTTCACTCCCACACACAAATGCACTGCTTTTTTTTTGCTTTTTTTTTGGGGGGGGGGGTTGAAATGGCTGTATTTTGTGCTGCAGATCATCCATAGGCTATATAAGGCCACCTAAACTTAAACTGCCACAAATCATTTGTTGTCAAGAAAATTTCAAACCTTATTGGAAAAGGAACAAATTATGCCAGGGAAAAACATTCCCCAAACCTGAGTCCCTTCAGATTTCTTTTTCCTCCAGGGGCCATGTCCCCCTGAAACCCCCTCGCATTTGTCCAAACACGAAAAAAAACTAAGTTAGGCAATAAGGTTTAGCGCATAGTTTTAATAGAGGACACCTTTATTCTCACCCCGAGTGAGAATAACCCATGTCTCGCTAATGGGGTTGAGAATAACCTATATATCACTATTCTCACCTTCCCCCCAGGTGAAAATAGCTTCCATCCCAGTGTGGGCATGAGGCCAGGACTCCCCCCTGACCTCTCACAGGCCGCTAAAATCACCTTGGCCCTTGGTGGCTTACCAAATATGGTTGGGATCGAATAATAATCTAATGTAAAATCATTTTTTGCCTCTCCAGTAAAAAAATAAAAAGCTCACTACCAACGCTACTGAGCAGGATGTGGGACCGGCCGGACTGTCTACACACTGACTTAATGGTGGCAGGCCTCTCAGTCTCTGCCTGCAAAATAAATTATGGTTCAAGGAACAGAGAGTGTGCACAAATGTAACAAGACACAAGTACGAGACAATAAATGCTCTTGCACGACGGTAGAAGGGTTGTAAATTATTCAGACCAAATGGGCGAGGGCGTTAAATCGAGTTAACTAGTACAGTGGAGTCCACTTATTAAATAACGAGTCCTGAAATAACGAGAAGTCTGTTATAAAGACACTATTCTAAAACCCCATTTTTTTCCCTTTTTTATCTTTGTTAATGAAATACTGCTACTGCGCAATCACACAGTCACCCGAGTCGGTTATAACAGAATATTGCTGCTGCTGTGCACAGCGCACAGACCAATTAAACATATAAAACCTCGCCAGTTGAGAAAGTTGTTGATGATCTAGCGGAACAAAGAATGGGAGAGCCCGCAATGAAAGCTGGAGCGAATGAGTGGGGAGGGTGTGGTATACGCAGACAAGCAGAACACATCACGTGATAGGTCAGGCCAGTCTAGATTACCTAGGCCTACCATGCCTCTCACTTCTCTGGTGCGGGATGGTCACAATGCTTTGATAGATGGAAGGAATGTGTCACGTGCCCAAACAGACGCAACGCACCACAGGGTGTGATGGGGTGGGGGACAACACAGTGGGACATTTAGCCTAGAGCCAGAGCCCCTTCTTTCTGATTGCCAACGTTGAGCAGTGCTAGTACTAGAGAAAAAAAAACCTGATTCGGTTTGTGATCAAGTAAGGCCTAGAGATCATGTTGAACAAAATCATCATCAGGGGAAATACAAAAAGGAATAAACAGAACACCAAACTCATAGATAAGGCCTACTTTACTATTTCCCTTGAATTTATTACTGGATCCCTTGTAACGAGAATCTTGCTATTATAACGGACATTTCGCACTCAGTCCCCTCGGATCCCTCTCGTTATAAATAACAGGATTCCACTGTACATAATAATTTTATTAAGCAATCCAAACTCTTTCCTTCACTTTCTTTCTTTTTTAAAAAAATTCTTCTTGCCTTTTCTGTCCCTTTCTGCTTGAACATTTGGAGTTTGGAGCAGAGCCAGAGAGCCAAATGAAATTCTTCTCCGGGCCAGACGCAATCCAAAAGAGCCAAATTTCTTAGATTTGGGTCCAATCTGACAACCCTGACTGTGACTAGATCCTATTCGGACACCAACACGATCCTGTGGAGCATCAGCCCCGGTAACCTCAGCTCTGATCCCTCTTGGGTCATTTCCGGTAAAACAAGGGATCAGGGGGTGAGAATAGCGAGACAGGTTATTCTCAACCCGGGTGAGAACAACCACTTCCCTAAATAAAAACCATAAAATATTTCTTAAACTACTAATCTGCAATGAATCAGCACCAATATAAAATCAATATTTGCATACCTATAAAGATACAAATGAAGAAAAGTGCTGCACATAGCCTGAGCATCAGACGGGAGAAAAAAACCCCAAACAAACAAATGTGGAACATAGATTTTCTAAAAGAATTAGGTACAGAATAAATTTGACTTATCAATAATGCATTGCAGTATTCACATCGGTAATGGCTGAACCCACAACCGAGACTATATCACACCGCAATATGATTTATAACATGGAGGAGGTGTGTGGAAAGGGACATGATGAGAGAGATGAAGCTCACTTGGAACGAGCAAGGAAGGATGGCCAAGGACACAGATAAATGGAAGGGGCTTGTATGTGGCCTATACCCTGCCAGGGATGAAAGGCACTGATGAATATGATTCATTGTTTGATATAGATCTAGATCTAGATCTACATCTAGTCTAAATTCTAGGCATGTCTGACATTGAAATTGGAAATATTGGAACCGCTAGTAAGTAATTAGTAATGGTAATAGATTCTAGTATGTCTACCAAGAAGAGATGTGATGTGTTTAAGACAAGCAACTACTTTTTTAGTATCCATGGATATTTAACAAGTCTAGATAGATCAAAAACCTTTACCAAGACGTGTTCCAAAACTGAAGTTTGGGTCCTTTTTATACCTCGAGGTGTCGAAATGATAATGATTGAATCGGCGTCCGCGGAGTCAGGAAGTGGTAACGATGAAAAAAGGATTTTCGCTATTAGGCAGTTTCAGCAGTTAAGATATCAACTTGCAACCGTATTCTCAACAGTTCGATATTTAGTAGATTCTATTTCTTTCTGAAAAGTGTTTCACAAAGCGTTGTTGTCGCCGTCGTCATCGTCTTTGTTGTCGTAATTGTTGCGTATTTAGTTTGTTTCAGAAATATTTCACTGTACGGTTGACGAGGCTTCACGAAAAGGGATCTGATATTCTCTCTCTCTCTCTCTCTCTCTCTCTCTCTCTCTCTCTCTCTCTCTCTCTTTCTCTCTCTCTCTTTCTCTCTCTTTTTTTAATATAAATTTTGCATTGGAAAAAATTAACAGAAATTGGACATAGAAGCTTATCAACTCATCATTGTTTATTCTTGTTTATTTACTTTTGCTTGGTTGATTGTTTTGTTTTTGTTTTTGTTTTCTGTGTGTGACTGTGTGTGTGTGTGTGTGTGTGTGTGTGTGTGTGTGTGTGTGTGTGTGTGTGAGAGAGAGAGAGAGAGAGAGAGAGAGACAGAGAGAGAGATAGAGAGAGAGAGTGTGTGTGTTCTTTCTTTAACAACTCAAACTTTTAAAAGTGTTACACGTTCGCCATCTACTTTAAATTTTTTTGTAATGCATGAAAACACATCCAGGAAACAGAAGCAAGATTATAATAATATTATTATTACATTTATATTATTCGGTGTCAGTGAGTGGATCAAAATGTGGGTGGGGTTCAGAAATGAAGGTACGTAGAGTTCAAAGGTAAAGATTCTCTCATACAGTACACCAAGGCCAAAGCTATGGAGGATCATATACTGCACACAAGAACAGCCAGATCAAACACCACAAGACTCAAAAGATCCAACTTCATCAAAGAAAGCAGAAAAATCCAAAGATCCATACAGGACTAGACGGTCATATAATCAGGCCACCTGCGCGCTACTGACCTAGATTCCTTGTGGGCTTACACACCCGTGTAGTAAGCCCACAACCTTGTAGATCATTAGTAGTGATAAGCCTACGCAGGGTGCGGCGGTCAGTTTGAATTGTTGTTTTCTCATGCTTTGACACTGGATTATTTCTGCCTAATGCAGTTTGCTTTTCAAGTCATCTGGATTATGTGAATATTTTCTACATCATTGTGTGTGTTGAGGAACAGAAGTGGTGACTAATTAATTAATTAATTAAGATTGACCAGCAGTCTTGAGATCGCAAATTTGAAGTGCTGTTTGGCTGCACTGTAGGCCTACTGTTCATTTTCAGATTCTTCATCGCCATCGTACTCAGTGAATGCCTGGATTCTTTTAGTTGAGGCCTAATGCAGTTTTTTTTTCCAAATCATCTGGATTGTGTGAATATCAAATATCTCTTCCATCAGTGTACGTGTTTAGATTAAACCTACAGTGAAGTTTTGACCGTGCACGTTTAATTCATATCTGTCTAAATCCATTCTAAAATCCATGTCTACACAGTGGAGGCCCCCCCTTCTGATCCGCACTCTTCACTGACTTAGAGCCTCTCTATGCATACAACCACTAAAAACGAACTCTCCATCCTATCCCTAGATCTGCTTTTAGATTTAGATTAGTTTGTAACACAAACAATAGACTAAAAGGACCATGTAGATATAAATCTATATATCTAGACTCTGAGCGTCTAGGGGCCCACCCTTGTTAGGTAGGGAAAAGTATACGGATCATAATTATGGGGGAGCTCCTTTGTGTTTTTCCCGACCTGCTTTGTTTAATATCTGCTGTTCTTTCACAGTGCTTACATGCTTCTCTTCTAGGCCTATTTATTGCTTTCATCATGTGTGGTTATGACTCTGTTGGACTGTGACTGACACCTTCAAAATAAACTGAAGGAATAAGAACAACAATGGGAAGAAAATGCTCAGTTGGTGGATGCAAAACTGGCTATGACAGTCAGAAAGGTGCAGAAAAAGTGACCTTGTATGGATTTCCTTCGGATGAAACAGAATGTCGGGCATGGACTGCTAGCTTACCAAACATTTTATCCTATGAAAAGGTGTCAAAACATATCAGTGTGTGCCCTCCATTTCCGTAAAACTCTAACTCAACTCAAGTCAACTTTCTGTCTTTCCATCGCTTTTGTCTGTCTAGAATAATTTTTTACATGTCCGTTAGTTTGAACACAAACACAGGGAAGCTAAACCATTGAGAGAGAGAGAGAGAGAGAGAGAGAGAGAGAGAGAGAGAGAGAGAGAGAGAGAGAGAGAGGGGGGAGAGAGAGGGGGGGGAGAGAGAGAGAGAGGGGGGGAGAGAGAGAGAGAGGGGGGGAGAGAGAGAGAGAGGGGGGGAGAGATTGAGAGGGAGAGAGGGAGAGAGAGAGAGAGAGAGAGAGAGAGAGGGGAGGGAGAGATTGAGAGGGAGAGAGAGAGAGAGAGAGAGAGAGAGAGAGAGAGAGAGAGAGAGAGAGAGAGAGAGAGAGAGAGAGAGAGAGAGGGAGAAAGAGACCGCCTAGCCGTGGCCGTTGTAATCATTATTATCATTACGAAGGTCACTGCTTGCTGTGGGCCGAAGCCTGAGCGGCCGGTGTGTCAGCCCACAAGCAAGGTGTGTAGTTCTTGGGCTGCGCTGCCTGATTTATGATCGCCTAGATACAGGACCATCTACCAGCCACAGTGAACATGCTGAATCACACCCCAGAGGCACCATCATGGGAAAAGAAAAACACAAACATATCTATACGCACGTCCATTCCTATGTTCACCACAAAAGATGACCACAGCGACCTGAGAAAGAAGTCCCTGACCCTGTCCATGCTTGAAGAAAGATACCCAAGAAAAGCATTGATAAGGATCTATACAGACGGATCTGCCACTGATGCTGTGAAAAGAGGGGGAGCCGGAGTGTAGGTACAGTTCCTAAATGGATGGCGACAAGCAGAGGCAGTCCCAACAGGGCGACATTGTACAAACTACAGGGCAGAGACAGAGGCTCTAATACATGCAGCAAACAGCATCAAGAATGTGGTAGACCCCCAAAGCCAAGTAGTATTCCTAACAGATGCCATGTCAGTACTGCAGGCAATCACTTCCAGCAAACTACCGAGGCTACGAAAAGTAATTGAGGACATCCCGTGTCTGAGGATCATGCTGCAGTGGATTCCATCACACTGTGGTGTCTTAGGAAATGAGCAGGCAGACAGGATGGCCAAACTAGGAGCTCAGAAAGAGCAACCAGGCAACAGCGTTAACTACACAGAAATAAAAACTATTATAAATACACTATTTAAAGCACCTCAAACACTAGATAGCTACCATGAGCTGTCCCGCCAAGAACAAGTGATTATATTAAGACTAAGGACATAATACACAAGACTGAGACAACATATGTACAAATGTTTTAAACTAGTCCTTCAGCACTGCAAGACACACAGGGCCCTGAGACAGGAAACGTGGCCAACCCCACTGATGCTACAAGAGAAGCTATACGGGCCGACAGATGAACTGAGCAGGACAGCCCAATTTATGACAGATACCCGACTTCAAGTGTGATGCGATCGAGAAGAAGAAGAAGAAGAAGAAGAAGAAGAAGAAGAAGAAGAAGAAGAAGAAGTAGTGATAGAAGAGGGGTGAGGGGGAGAAGAGGGGGCGGAGGAAGAGTCCATCCCGTCCTCCTCCAATACCCCAAAGCGGTGAGTCAGTGGTACCTCAAAGGTGAGTACCACAGGGGTAGGAAGGACCTTCTTTGACTTTGTTACAGAGACTCGCTTGTTGACTGCGGGCTGTGGGAAGTCGGCAGTAGAGGTACTGGTCAACGTCATGACTGGCCATTTCGCGCTTTCTGCTCTTGATTGCGCCTTCTACGAAACTTAAAACAATGGGTGAAAGAGCATCTGAATATCAAGGCCTCAAGATCTGGAATGCTTTGTCAAGTACTTTAAGAGAGATCAAATCTTTTGATTCATTCAAACGTCAGCTGAAGTCATTTCTATTTTTAAATTAATAAGATGAATATTTGGAGTGACTTTCTTTTGGCCAGAACACGTTTCATGTTACTGGACAGTTGTAGACAGCACTGCAATGTAAAGCGCCCAGAGTCTGTGTACTTTAATCGGGATTGAGCGCTATATATGTCAATTATTATTATTATTATCACTATTATTATTATTACTTTGCGGGTGCTCTTGTGTGGTTTGCTCCTTCTTTCCTATCAAAGATCTATATATCGCCTTGATCTCTCTTCCTTTTTTTGGTGTTTGTTACTCTCTTGTAACACCTCTAATCTTCGGCACTTATATAACCTTGTTGTGTTGCAAGTGCCGTAAAACTGACGAAGACTAACTTAAATAGAGTTTGTACGATCATAATGTTAGATCTAAATAAATATCCCCCAGGAGCTCAGGCAGAGAAACCACAATGTCAATGGGCGTAGCAGCCAGTCCCGCGCTCTGTAAGCTCGGCCGTTCGCCCACCGCGTGCGTGCGGGGTTTATTCACTGGTCTCATTTTGCGCGCCGCGCCGCGCGCGCCACTTCTTCTGTTAGCCCCGGAAACAAAACGGCTTTTTTCATTTTTATGTTTTAAAGTAGAACTAGATATATAGATCTAGATATCTAGACTACTTTCTCAGCACTTGATAGACTAGCAAAGTAATACTATTCATGGTGAGATCAGGTTGTAGAATCCTTTTTATTGAAGGGCACAGAGGTAATTTACAACGTTTCAAAGCGCAACGTGAACGTAAATGAATCAATCAACTCTTTCATGTTTCAGCCTTGCGCAGTCGCTCATGGTCTATGAACGAATAGCCAACCAACGCACAGTCGACAGTCACTCAGTTATAATTGACCCACCGCACGTAGCACAAGCGCACTGGCTTGCCTAGGCCAAGGCGACTGAGAAAGCCTAGCTACTGACTCAACTGAGTGTGTGGAGTTTCAATGTATACGCAAATCTTGCCGGTTTCATTCAGCAGAGGTTTCAGTTTGTGATAGTGACAAGGCTAGGCCTTGATTTAGAGAATTCGGGGAATGGATGTGTTTACTAAGAGAAGCTTCCAAGATGCAGAGTGTCAACTTACTGTTGTCATGTAACTTTGTTCGATCGTTTGTTTACGAGATTCTGCAGATGTACTTTTTCGTGTGAGGACATAATCACTATAAGGGATGATTATTTTGCATTTGGACCCCCTAAGGTAAGCTTTTTTTGCACCCACCCCTACCCACCCACCGTTTTGCCGTGGACTTAGAAAAAATGTGTTGGGTATTTAGATTCTAGATTTAGTTAGGATTCCGATATTCTGTATCGGGCTTAGGCCTTAGGTGTGATAGTGTGGAGTTAGGGCTTTTTTGGGGGTAGCCTATGCAGGGGCGGTTTGTTAACTGGGCAAGACCGGCGGTGCCGGTCATATTTTTTTCAGCTGGACTGTTGACAGGAGATTTATTGCTGATGATGATTTTCATTCAGTTTTAAGTAAATCTAAAACAAGCATGTATCAACATTCAAAAAGC